TYRWTYMAWTTWYTTWWKTTTKMYTTYMRRAAARWWWTKRAAAWTWMYWAAWYYTWAWWTTTTTYACTTTTTCTGTGAAAAYTCTCAGGAATATTTTCTTGTGTCCATAAGATATCACATAAAACCTAATGCTGAAGTTTGTCATCTACTGCATGTAATATGCAAAGCAACATGACTCCAAAAACCAGCCATGTCCCCAGAATAGAATTGTGTGGTATATACCTGCCTTCAAACATGGCAAAGGACAAAAAAATCTGCAAACTTTTCCACACTATTGATTCCATTTAAAAAGCAGTTAATTTTCATTTACTGAAACTTTGAAGTGAAAAATTRTCTGTGTTGCAAAGAACAGAAAGAAATGTTCCATTTGGACATTGACAATTTGGGGTGTATCAACATTTTTTCTCTAACTGTTGTAGATTCCTTAGAACGACCCAGTATCACAAGTTTTACATCTATTTTTTTTTTTCTTTTTCTGGGGCTTGAGTACGCACAAATAAAAGAATGATTAGAGCAGATCAGAGCAATGGTCTGTCTGATTCAGTACTCCATGACAAGGTCTATTTTTCATTTAAAAATGCCAAGCAGATTGAACAAAAGAAATGAACAGCCAGAGACACAGCTGGTACAAGTGGCCTGTGCACAACAAATGGATTGAAATATTCATGCATAATATATGCAACAAACAGTTCCAAGGTTGTAAACAAATGCACAACAGACAGAGATAGAATGAAACTAATGAAATTAATTMTTTGCTATAAATACTTTGGCTGGTTCTTGTGGATGAAATTTCTGCAGCAAGGAAGAGAAAGAAAAATTCTGAACTATATACAACAGAATCCAATTCTGCATTTGAGAGTAAGAGTTTGAAATTGTAYCACAATAAGGAAAAGTTCACAGAATAGCAAAATAAGAAGAAATTTTTTTACATGAGCAGTAGAGTATGGAAAGGATTTTGCCAGAGTACCCTACCCGGCTTTGATGTCCACTTTAAAAAAACATATTTTAAAAAAGCCTCTKGAGAGTAAAGAGAAGAGTCAGCAAAATCAAGTGAAAGTGACATAAAATGTCCTGCTATGAAGCACCGAAAGAGCTGCATTTCTCAACTTCTTCCTCAAACAGAACACAAGCAGTGAATGACCGGATAGTGGAAAGCTTAACCAAGAGGAGACACTCTTAAGGGAAAACTCAGGTCATTTATTTCTTGATTTTTTTGTATTCAAAGCATGCATTAGTGAAACACAAGTAGTTAACAGTGCAGAGTTGTGTGAGAAGCCAGATGATGCAGATATTTGTAAGSAACATAGTATTTATTTGCTTAATAAAAATAGAGTTTTAATAGTCTTGTCCTTGAGGATCAAGTTACTTGGGGATCCAGCAGTCAGGGTGCCTAGGAGCCTGGCAGAAAGATGACTTTTTGAGGACAAACCCATTGTTTCTGCATGGTAGAAGGCTTGTTACAGTTTTTTGCTCCAGAGAGTTCGCTGTACTGTGGTACTGGAGTTTCTTCTACTTCTAAATGGCTTCAGCCATAGGTGAGTTTGCAGTAAACAGGCAGCTGATCACAGGGAACTTTGTTCTGTGTTGACATACATTTTGTTGACACAAATACTCTTTGTGCCAGTGACCTAGAGAGCAAAGAACCCTCAAAGTGGCAAAACTGCCAGATCACTCCACCACAGCCCATGAGAAAAGGCCATGTGCACACAGAGTGTTCACCATCTCCAATGGTCCGTTTGTCCTTGGAAGGCTAAACAMACGTATTGCCCAAATAAACACAGGCCTTTAAAAACAAAAACAGTCMAGCCAGGCTACTCAGCACTCCACTAAACTACTCAGGAAAAGCATTCAATTCCCCAGAAGCTTTGATGCTTCTTACCTCACCCACCTTCCCACCATTTCACCTCTCTGACAGGACTTGCCTTTGGCTTTCCCACATCACATAAGATGCCCTCAGGTGAGGCCGACAGAGATCTTAGATAGCACAGTTATTCCACACATATGTTGGAAAGGAACGTAATTAATTTGTGCATTGGGAGGAGGAGAAAATAAAAAGGAGATAAAATAGAGGAGAGAAGCGATGGCTCTCTGGGTCACAGTCTAGTTTAGGTGMGTGAATCAGGGAAAGGGAAATGACAATTCACTTTCCAGATCCAATTCACATTCAGGTATTGAGCACAAAGAACAACTAAAGCCACTCTAAGGTCACATTACCTGAGGCTTAATCATATGCTGAGAATTACCACCTGATTGTGACCATCAAGAGAAATCTGCAGGGAACACTTTGTGAGTTTTCTGGGGATCAGGCAAAGAAATCCCTTCCTTATGAGGTACTGAGGAAGGCACTTCTTCAAATCTCTATTCAAGCTGCTCCTTGGGTTTTCACAGCAAAACCTCAGGTTAGGTACCTGGAGGCTGTAGACACTTTCAGGTTTGGTTGATAACAGTGCAGCTGCCCCAAAGATCTCAATTTTAGGCTTGGGTATTAAAAGTGAGAGGTAGGAGGCAGCTGATCTTTGTAGGGCTCCAATCTTACCCATTGCAATGCTTCATTAAAATATTGCATCAAAGATCTTCAGCCTTTCATTCTTACCATCTTATTGAATTATCTTTCCATTACATCACTTCATGGTTGGAGCTAACAGTTGGTTCTCTTATATTCCCTAAACTCTTTGACTGTCTATTTTGCTCAACTACAATCATTCACAATGCTTCACCTCCGATACAAAACCACCTGGATATAGTTTTTCTTCCTCTTTGCTTTCAGTATCCTGTTAATTGCCCCCTTTTTTACTCTCTTCTGTAAAATCTTCTTCCACATTGACCTTCTAATGACAAAAGCAATTTAAAAAGCAACTAGTAAAAGGGGAAGCTAATATGTTCAAATTGTTTTGCTTGCAGTAGGAGTATACCAATTACATTCTCTTCCTACATGTTCATCTAAACTAGCAAGAAGTTATTTCTCAGCTGGGACATTTCTGAAATMATAATGAAGTCACCTTGCTCAAGACAAGTAGAGCTGAACAGAAGGATTTCCACTTTTCATGAAACCTCAAAATTCTGATATTTGTGGCTATGCAAAATAAAGATGAAAAACTTTCAAATTGTCAACATATGTTGCAGAATAAAACTTACATTTGAAGTATTAATGCTGAAATGTCATCCTTCCTTTGGGAGTCATCCAACCACCTTTGCTTKCACAATTACAGCCCAGCACAACTTTATCCTCTGGCCAGGTTTCACCTCTGTTTGCTTGCCACAGAAGCAGGACTCCACATTACTCAGCAAAATGTCAGGCAGGCAGAAGAGAGGACCCCAGCATACCATGGAATGCTTATATTTTCCTGTCCTACCTCTTTGTTTCTTTCTTCCATCTTCTCTGCATGCTCAACCAAAAGCTTCTTCTCTGTTATCTCCAAAAGCTCTCATGCAGAGGAGAAATAGCCATATTATTCTTCTGTCTAGTGGGCAGAGAAAAGAGCAGATCTGGTTTCTTCTGAAAAGAAATGTAACTTCTCTCAACTAAAGTGAGCCAACCATAACGTGGATATCTACATCTGAATGAATTCCCTAAGATCCTTTTATAAACATGGGGAACAAATTGGCATTTACAGAGTATGAGGTTCATCTTTTTCAGACATCTATCCGAATCACCTACTAATACCTGTATTTCGTTGGTTGTGACGGGAATCAGTAACAGTAGTTCAGGTTGACTTTGCTGGAAATATTTACATTGAGACAACAGAACTGCTGTACCCAGCTGTACTGCTGAGTACAATAAGGCTTTCCTACTTGAACAAGAAAATGGTAAGTCATAAATAGCAAAAATGAAATTCTGAATCTATGTTAGGTTCAGAACCTGTATAGTTTTCTTTTACTGCTAGGGCTGTAGATTTCAGTTATGCTGTTTCTGAGTTATAGATCCACAAAACTGGAGACAAGTTTTAGATCCCCTCACTGTATGCAATAGCTATTGACCATTTTCATTAGTTTGGCCACTCTGAAAGAGATTAAAGCTGACTGCAGAAGCCAAACCCTAGCAGGGTTTGCTGAGAATTCACTAGTAGGTTTAGAATAAAATAAAATAAAATAAAATAAAAAGTACACTACAGGTGAAGATGAACTTCTCAGGGAGATTTGGAATTTGGATAAAATAAATACCTGAAGCTCTCCATCTCCTTAGCATTTTGAAAAAATCCACTCTGACTATGGCTCTGAAATTATATCAAACTTGAATTTTACATTTTGAAAAATGGCATAACAGAATTATGCTGATAAAGAAAATTCATTGTTCTCAAGCATTATTTAAGACAAACAAGTTAAAAATTAGGGAACGTAATATTGAATGGCACAGCCTGAAGGATTACTGTTTCTATTAACAGAAAAAACATATTAAAATCTAGAATGAGATATTAATGAAACATGCTAAGTACTCTGTGAGTTGTTACTGTCATGATCTGCTTAAAAATTCTGTTGGGGACCTTCCTTGCCACTACAAAAAGATTTAAAGTACAGGGGRTAACTATTAACCTGATCACACTTACAGTGAAAATATTGGTTAAATTCAGTCATTTGCTTCCAAGGTAATGATTATATTGCCTATTTCCATCTTAAAGTCACCTTGAACTCCCACTTGTTCCCAATGAGGTGTGCAAGTATCAAGGAACAAACCAAATAAGAATCAAGTTCAGTTAAAGAAGCCTCAGGCTCAGTGTTGCAAAATTTCCTCTCCAAAGTCCAGAATTGTTTTGAGCTCAATGGGCATTGGTCATTAGCACCATATTGGCAGCAAAAAATTATGTACATGTGTTCCAGTAGCACACATATATGGCAGGCTTCGGGCTTTACAAGAGGCAGTACAGATTACCAGAKATTGAATTTCAGCTTAGACTCTCCCACTGATCTTCCATCCCAATTGAGTCACTTCATCCTCTTATCTTCCCCTTTTTGTGTCTTCAGACTGTAGCATAAAGGGCCTAAGGAACCTGCTGGGAGAATCCACTCACATTTTGCTTTGCTTATTAACTTGAACTTTTCKCAGGTATGGGCCAGAAGCAGTTTATAAAATGCAACAATTTTTATGGTTGTAGCGGTCTTCTCTCTGTCCATTGCAGGATTGCACCTGACGTGCCAGGGACACCTCTGGGTGTGGGAGGGCTACAGGGCTRTGGGGCATGGCTACAAAAGCCACTAAACTTCTCATTTATAACACTGTAAGGCTAATCATGTACATATAGGTATATGTATATAAATATTTTTATTATATAAACATAAATACATCTGTCTGAAGTATAATATATGGTTCTATGCAGTTATTTTTTAACAAAAATGTATAAATATAACTAAATTACTTATGATCTCTTAAGTTTAGCATTCTGACATCAAAGGAACTGAGGAACTGTTTTGGAGGTACTGAAGTAAAATGAAAAAGTAGAAATTACTCCTTTCATATGTCTAGCATTTTGCTTTTATCAGAATCAACAGATTCCCATGACTTTTTATTTTTTGAAGAGCTGAGAACATTTTGTTCAACTCTGGCCTCAAAACCTTCTTTTCCTCTCWGSAAAATTTTTCCTAGAAGCAAGAGATCCCTTTTGCCAGGCTTCYCTGTGCAGATAAGCCCCTAGACAAATATTAGCTAATTATTTTTGCCTAACTCTTGTTCCATCACAACGTTGGAAGGGCAAAGGACACTTTTTYCTCCAGCAGAATGGATCTGGCAGGATATCATTATCCTGGATAGAAATATCAAGTGAACTTGTGCCATTACAAAGCAAATTCACAGTCAACAATTCTGTTAAGCTGACTAGAGAAATTCTGTGCAGCCACACTGCCCTGATGGTATTAGTCTGTTTAATCTTTTTTGATAGTGGCCTGCAAACATCAACAGAAAAGGAGAGGGGTCAGCTTGGATCTGTAGGAAGAAAGGGAGCTCAAATGAAATCTGTGGCTGTTGAACAGGCTGTTGAAACAAACGTTTAAACCTCTGGATAACAAGATTTGCACTGCTTGATAAACACACACATCAGCTTCACCAAAGGAGTATTTTTCTTTCCTGTTATTTAATACTCAGTAAAAATGTTGTACACAGACACACACGTGTATGTGCACATGCTCAATTTTGTGCATTTTGAAAGTATGTTGTGTGCAGCTAACAGGTCACACTTCTGAGCGAGTTGTTTCTTCTTAACTCTTTCTTCTTTTTTTTTTTTATTGCTTTCCTTCCCTCCTTGATCACAGGAGCAGACTTGATCACAGGAGCAGATGGTGACAGATTATATATAAAAGGACAAAACTGGAAAAAATTTTTGTTTATTGTCCAGAACAAGTTAATTTTCTTTCTAACCTCAGCTGACTTAATCTGAATTTAAAATRCTCTTCTTAAAAAGGTTTCCACAGAAAAATTAGGAAGGATGGTTTTAAAACAGGGCTAAGTTGGTCCCAGCAATGGTCTGTGGGATATCTGATCTCCTGCCCATGACTTGGGGTAGTGCCCTGGTGTTCCCAGTACCAGCACAGGCTGGCTCTGTGCATCACTTCTGGCTGCTTCCATAACCAACACAAAGTGTCCACRAAGTGCAAACACTGGGCAGCTCTGAGATGAACAGCTGCAGTTTTGTAAGTTGTGAAAATTATGTGAAAAACTCTTATCAAGAAGAAAGTCAAAACACTGGCTTTTGTGAGAACATGATCAAACCTTAAGGAGCTCCAGTGCATGAACCATAAACTACTGTTAAACATTATGGAAGAACTGGCATCTCCTTTRTTGGAAAGGCTTAGAGTCAGGTCTAGTAATGGAACTATACTCTCATCATTACAGATGCTTATAATGCTCTAACACTGTTCCTAACCCTGGAAAAGATCAATTGCTATGCCTTTCACACAGTCTTATTTCATTAGTAAGTACAGATGCTGCAAACTTGGCTCAGRTAATGGCAGGCAGATTGACTAAAGYACTGCCACACCTCCTGCAGCTCTAGGACCCAGTGGGAATTCATTCTGGAGCTGATTGAACAGGCTGTTCAGCCTTCTGCATCACAAGGAGCACTAGAGAAAGCCAGATTTAACAAACTAAATGGAGAGAACAAAAAAAGCATTTTGCTTTGTGCAATAGCTTTCCTCATCATAGCATAAAAAATAAACTTTGGAAGACAATTTATTGGCTAAATTAAAAGTCTTTATGCCTCCCTGATAAGTAACCCATAAAGGATGCAATCCATTCTCCTCATTCAGTGCAGACTGGGAAAARGAGGCAAAGTTGTCACTTACTCTAGAGATTGATTCAGTTCCATGTATGGACTCTGACTTGAAGGACAAAACAGGAGCTTGAGGAGTCACAAAGAGTTTTAGATGCCCTTCAGAATGGATTTCCTTGAGAAAACAACTCTGGAATTTATTAATTAGGAATTGGGGGGACTGTCTGGCTGTAAAACCTAAAGAACTGAGCAGTCTATTTAGCCACATGTGTTACCATCCTTCTTGGAAAAACAAGAGAAAAAGAATTTCAGGACACAGAGATGTGTTGCTATTATTATGTGTAACACAGGAGTATCTATGACATCAAGTCCAATATCTAATTAAATATGTTAATCCAGTATGGCCTACACTGAGAGACAGTCAGTTTGATTTTGCTGAGTTTGAAAGAAATACACAGTCCTTACCATGTACAATGTTCTAGAAGATCCTAGTGGAAGAAGATGACAGACACCCTGCCTGTGGTTCATGGCTTGCGCAGCTGAGAATCTAAGAGTGAAGACTGCTAAACTTCTGACTAGCCAGGAYAGAGAGGAATTGCAACCAAAACAGTTCCAAAATTGTTTGCCTGGTGGGTTTAGGCTGCACAACCCCAACAGGAAGAACATTTGGCAAAGACTTGTGAGAATTGTCAACTTCATTTGCCCTCTGTGGGTGCAATTATGCAGGCACTGTAGTGTAGATTTGAGTCTAATCTCAAATTTTAACTCTTCTCCTGATCTGTTTGGGTACAGAAGCACAYACTCCATGTGGATGCAAGCCAAGGTCTAGAGTGCAGTAGAGCAAAAGCCAAGGGGAGGTACCTGGCAGAACTAAGCATAGAGGCCAACAGTGCACCAGGAGACCTTGTCCTTGGCTCTTCTCAAGAGCCACAGTGAAGGCTCTGAGCCTGGGCTGTAGGGTCCAAATCAGTGGCTGSGAAGACTGGCCAACAGTGAATTTCACCTCCCAGGTGAGCACACTGTTTTATCTTAYACTGCAAAGTAAGTGTGGTCTTATTGATACAAGTCCTAAGTGCAACATTTAGTGTGGATTTACCAAGGGCAGATCATGCCTGGTTGACCTGACTGCCTCCAGAGATGAAATGTCTTCTTGCTTTGATGATGAGAGAGTATTGGATAAATAGTCACTAGCACTTCTGACTCATCTCCACAGTCCTCTCATCTGGAAGCTGAGGATTTATAGTCCACCAGATGTCATGAAAGCTGCTTGAACTGTTGATCTCAAAGGCTACCAATCAATGTCTCGATTGGCAGCCATCAGCCAGATGTTGGCCAGTAACAAACAGTATCAATGACCTGAATAGCAAAACCAAATAAATCCTCAGCAGTTTTGAAGATGTTAGGTAATTAGGGGTGGTTGACACACTGAAAGGCAGAGCCTCACACAAGCTGGTCCTTGATTTGCCTGAAGATAGGAATAAAAAAGAATGTTATGAATATCAATGAAGTGTGATGTACTGCTCTTGGCTAGGCCAGCCCCAGGCATCCAAACACTGGCTGCTGGGRAGCAGCCTGGGGAAAAGGACAAGTAGACACCAGGCTGAATAGGGGCTGACAGGAAACTCTCCCTGTAAATGAGACAAAGCACATCCTGATCAGCAGTAGAAGGAGGGTGTCCAGCAGATGAAACTGGAATCTGCCTCTGCACATCTGGAATACTGTGTATCACAGYGGCTGCTCCCACTCCCAAGTTAAGAGAGATATGCAGAAACTGGAGCTGACCCAGCAGAGAGCTGCCAAAGTGGTCCAGAAGACATATGACATAATGTGCAAAAGCTGTTTTATGTGATGAAGGAGAGACCATGAYGTGAACGATGAGCAGCAGTCACAAGATGTGGCTGGGAAAGTTCAGTTTGGATATAAAGAAAAGTTTTACTAGAGGGGGGTAACAGCAGAGGAGGTACCCAGAGATGCTGCAAAATCACCATCCATGAGGATTTTCACAACTTGCCCAGACAAAGCCACAGCTGACAGCAGGTGTTGGCAGTAGTCCTGTATGAGAGGAAGGTTGGCCCCAATTAGCTCCAATCAGTTTCTCTGTAATTCTGTGAAACCTAGAATAATTTCTCATTCATTTCATTCTGCAATAATTACTAATAAATAAAACCCACTGATTGGTGAGTTTACTTTGCTATTTATAGAAAATATAATTACTGTATTTGTTTCACTTTCTATTGTCTAATGATCATTTAAGCCATTTATTTTGCTGTTCTSCATACTTCCAGTTCAACTTATAAGTATGTATGGCTATATTTAGCAAAGGCTGTGGCTGTATTACAGCCTMATCCACTTGACACAGTTCTGTTTCATATGAGGCAGCCCATCTTGGTCCTGATGACTCWTTGTCACTGAAGGTATTTTTGTTCAAATTACTTATGCCGTTTCACACGGTTACTTTATGAGCCTTCTTGTCTTCTCATAAACCATCACGCACAGCTTTTGTTTTCACATGCATTACAAGTCATGAACAGTGCCCCCCTTTTGAACAGAAATCTCATTAGCAGGGAGACAACAGGCTATGGAAATATAAAACAGAAGAAATAGAAAGGCAAAGGAACAAACCCRCACATGTGGCAGTCTGCTGCTATTTCGTGGTGCTTGAGCTCTCTCTCCACAAGGCCTTGCATCCACTGACGGTGCTGATGGGAAGTAACTGCTACACTTCTCCCCTGTGCTGACTTTCCATCAGTGTAGGATGAGGTTTCACGTAGAGTCTGTTACAAGCATGAAACACTTGGGATTCTCCGGGAGGCAAAGAGTRAAACTCATTATAAAATGTGAGGCATTGACTTGAGTGCTGAAGCACTTATTAATGACCTGATTCAGATCTAAAGAATCTCTCCAACAAAGGAGGCTCTTCTGCCAGTGAAGCACAATTTGAGACTCATAGCTTGTATACACAGGGAAAATTACCAGGATAATTATGCCAGTATAATTATACTAGTTTAGCTACGCCAATAAAATTCTCCCTCAATGGACACTGCTGTCCCTGTAAAAAATATTCTTCTTTTTTATGGAGCTCATYTCAACATAATTTAAATCAGGACATTTATCTTGAGATAAGAAGAGAATGGTAAGTTTGACTGGCAGRATATGCTGGGACAGCTATACCAGTATACTTAACCATTTCCATATAGGCAGCTTTCAGTTGTTCACAGGAGTGTGAGATTGTGTCTTCTTGATGAAAGCCCTGGGTTTAAGTGTTTTCACATTGCTTCATCTACTGAAGTCAGAATAAATAATTATAAAAGAGAATCAGCTCAGTAATAGGATCTGATAAGCATATATCTCTGCTCAGCAAATTGCTGTGCTTGCCTCATTAGGATTAACCACCCTGCAGACAAAGAAGCCAAGTCGCAGCTTCTAAGGATGCAGTGCCAGATGGAAGTTCCTATTCAAAAAATATCTCAGGAGATGTCTTGGCATCTGTTACTGAAGAATGTTATGGGTAAAACCTTAAGAACCAGCCCAAAAAGGGGCAAACAGATGCTGGAGAAGTTTTTTGTGAGAGCCTCACAAAGAAATTCCAGAAGTTCATGTTTTTTAGCTGAGCTGTTGTGTCTCAAAAGCATGCATTATACAGACCCATAGTCTGATGAAAATCTTTTTACCTRGATCTTAGTGAGAAAAGCCTTCAAAGTATTGCCATTAAAGCTTTGTTGGCTCAACTCTTCCCTGTGGTTACTCACAGAGACTCAGAGCTCTTCTAAAGTCAATCACATTAAGAATTGTGTTAGGAACTGGGGATCACTCCTGCAATGCATGAAAGAAATAAGCAGGAAGGACACCATACCACTGGGCTTTCCCTTGCTGCTTTTGCGGAAACCACACCAATACAAGACTGAAGGTCTCAGAATGTCCACCATTCCCTGATTTCATCACAGCACTAACTGGAACAATTTTGGGCAGGGACTTATGAGAAATGTCAACTCCATTTGCCATTTGTGTGCAYATGTGCGGCACCATAGTGTAGACTTGAGGCTAATCTCAAATTCTGTCTTCTGTGGAGAGCACACACTCAAGTGTGGATTTCAGCCAAGGTCTAGAGTRCATTAGAGCAGGAGCCAAGAGAAAGAGACTGGCAGGACTGAGCAGAGAGGGCAGCAGAGCATCAGCAGTTCCATTTTCTCAGCTCTTCTCAAGGACCCAGTGAGGGCTCTGAGCCTGGGATGCAGCAGGGATAACATCAGTCAAACACCAGCAGGGAAAGSAGCAGCCCATGGGATGGAGCACACTTGGAGTCACTGAGATGAACCCTTTGTGTAAGACACAGCCTGTGAGAAATGAGAGCATGAAATCCACGGCAGTGAATGTGCTACCAAAATCTATCACCAGCTTTTGTGAAGTGGTGTGCTTGGTCTCCAGATAKGAGGTTTGATGGACTTTGCTCAAAGGCCTGGCTGATTGAGAAGAAAACAGATTAATTGGTCTGAATTTAATAAAATATCAAACTTTCTTTATCATTAACAATGTCACAGCAGTGACCTTCTGTTTCCCAGAAGATGCCCATGGATGTCAAGTCTCAGGACACGATAAATTTGTCACAAGATGAGGCATCCCTATTACCTCACGTAATTCCTGATCCAAAACTGTGTTCAGGATTGCTCAGCCACTAGATGTCCCTGTGTACTACAGGGCAAAGCAGAGAGGATGAGCTCCGTGCCACATCCAGAGAAAAAACTGGAGAGCAAAAGTCATGGAAGCGTCGGTGTTTGTGTGCCAGTTCTCTGCATAGGTGGAAGTAGTAATGGCACAATATTCACTTGCTGACAGACTGTGTAGTTGTGAGCATACTTCAAGGAACATGCTCCTTGCATGTCCTGGCTTGAATTATTGAGCTACAGCYTGGAAATATTCACAGAAAAATGGRAAGAAAAATCCTTCTCTCTTAAATCTCCAAAGAGACAAATCTGACTCCTCTTTCTCCAAAAGAAGTTTTTCTAGATTAACCAGCTTCACCATCCTAGCAGCATGACCCAGAGTGGAAGGATATTCTACAGCAAAAGCTCTTATCTACTCTTTCCMTTGGATAGGTCATAAAAGGACATCAAGTGTTCCCTCAAACCTTTTCCCTGTGTTATTTCTGCCATGTGTACTCACATGCACTCTTCTAACAATATTCCTGTGTTCAGGACGTGTATTTAGCTCATCAGCACTTTGGAGCATGTAAGGTCAAGAGCCATAAAAATAGGTTGTGCAAATCTGATGGGGTCTGCAACACATGCCAGGCTCTGACCTTACTGCAGAGGTGGAAATCAATAGACGAGGAACGTGTTTGAGTGGCTGCAGGAATCTTTTATCTTTTGCCTGGCAAACAACCACTCTGGCTTGTGAGTACAGGACCTGTACCATAGCACAAGTGCTGGGGACCCACCAGCACACAAACTTAGAATGGAAATTAAAAACTCTTCTTTTTTTCCTCTGAAACAGACATTGTGTGATGGACCCAATTGCACAGAGCTAGGCTGGCAAACTGTGCTAGTGCAGASA